TTTGGGTGGAGCACTCATCTTGCTTCCAAGATCTTTCTAGGTGTTAGCCGTGTAAATGAGAGAACCTGCTCTAATACCAATTGTTAGTTTGAGTGCTCGTATGGATAGCTAAATATGGTGGTTCTTTATCGCGTTCCTTAAGCGTAAAGTAAACAAGCAATAAAATGAACACAACGATTTTTACGTGGAAAATCACCCGGATCAAAAGGTGCAAAAATCACGACCTACCATGTAGGATTTTCAATTCCAACTCTACTAGAATAATGAGCCAAAATGTATCAATTACAAGACTGTAATTAAATACTCTCAAGCACTCCTACTACTCCTATTTGATTCACAAGTTACTCTAACTTCTAAAGCAAAATACTCACTCCAACTCACTAATTATTTATGACACTTGATTACAATTCAATTTCCTAAAACACATTCACTAGACTGACTCAGGAAGAATACAAGGCAAGTACTCAATATAAGTAAGCTACAACTTGTTGTGAAACTTTCAAGGATATATCCATGGTGGAATACCTTGTTTTCATCACTTTGATATATCAAAAAATAAAAAGGAGTTCATCTCTGGTTATTCTTTTATTTTTTAATTTGTGTGCGTGAGAGAGAGTCACCAAATGATGTAATATTGGAATAAGTTAGAACTGGCAGCTAGATGGATTCGCGAAAACCATAGCATATGGGGGAATATTTTTAAAAATAAAAAGGTGTACATGAAACAATATGTTTTAAAAAGAAACAAATAGGAAGTTTGACAGTGCATTGACAAAAAAACAAAACTCCTTGTCATAATTAAAATAAAAAGCAGAATAAGTAGGAGGGTTAATCATCTGAAGGTAAGTTCAAGGAAAGTGCATGATCAGATATATATCTGTATATAATCTGTCACTAGGGGGATGAATAAATCATTGACAGGGAGCATTTTTCTCCTTATATGGGATCTACGCAGTGGAAATCTGAATTAGTTGGACTAGTAGGTTTTGGATATCAGATGGTTATAAAAAAAAGAAATAGCATAAATTGTCACTTTGTGTGCTACTCTTTATCATTTAATATTACCCCCTTAATATGTTAACTAACCTCAACTCAGCCATCTCACTTGTAGTTGTAGCGTTGCATGAATAGCCCCTAATGTATCTTATTGCTAAATCAACTTTCCAAAATGAAGACATTTGAAAACAAAATTTTCCAAATACAATTAACCAGCATTTTGCTTGACTGAAGAAATGGGCAAACCTACTGTTAGTTTGAATGCCCGTATGAATTATAAAAGAACTTGGTTCTTTACCATGTTTCTTAAGCGTAAAGTAAACAAGAAATAAAATGAACATAACGATTTTTACGTGAAAAATCACCTGGCTCAAAAGGTGCAAAAACCACGACCTACCCGTAGGATTTTCAACTCCAACTCCACTAGAACAATGAGCCAAAATGTATCAATTACAAGACTGTAATTAAATACTCTTCAGTACTCCTACTACCCCTATTTGATTCACAAGTTACTCTAACTTGTAAAGTAAAATACTCACTCCAACTCACTAATTGTTTATGACACTTGATTACAACTCAATTTTCTAAAACACATTCACTAGACTGACTCAGGAAGAATACAAGGCAAGTACTCAACACAAGTAAACGACTTATGACTCTTTAGTTGATGTGTAAAAGGATAGTTCAGAAGTCCAAAGTCGATCCTATTTAAAACACAACTTGAGATCTTCTAGGAGTCCTATTCATAATCAACTTCTTCTTTGATAGGACTCCTACTGTTCCAAGGATTCCACAAGATTTGGGACTTTTGTCTCTGACTGAATTATCCGTATCTTTTTTAGCAACGACCCTTATCACTTATAGCAGCCTTCTTCCACCAAACTCGGATCTGGGTAACTTTGAGAGAAAGTTACTGTCTTGTACAGACGTACAAGTATCAATCATGAGGAGCTGATTCTTTCTCCCGAGGAGCTGGTTCTTCATAACAGTTAAGCAGCTACGTTGAGGACCTGGTTCTTTGAATATTTAGTCATACTTTGTTAATCATCAAAACTTCAATACTCAACAAATTTTCCCTTTTTGATGATGACAAACTTTGTACACAACAGAACCAGGTAATCACATCAAAGTACCAGATAATCACAACAAGTACTATTGATAGACATGTATGTTCATAACCCACAACCTTCCAACCTTATCTTCCTCCTTTTTGCATCATCAAAAGCACACAAAAAAATGTTAGACATTAATCATAGATGATAAAAAGGCTACAACACAAGCTTAAGAAAAGGCAAATAGACTAGGCTGATGATCCAATATAGTATAAAGTAGTAAAGTAGAGCAAGATGAGACATTAAGTAGTGCCAAAAGAATCCCAAGGACTTGTCTTCATCATTAGAACAAAATAAACTAAGCATACTACAAACTACTCAGACTAAAAAAATAAAAATAAAATATAAGGCATCACTGGAATAGCAAAAGAACTAAGGACACCGGAAAGGAACAAGTTCATGGGTGAGAAGCATATGGGGTCAAAGCTTTCACAAGGGTGGAAATCTGTTAGGCATGAGCCTCCCTATCTCTTCTAAGCTCTTCCCCTTAGTTGATTTGTTTCCTTTCTCAACTTATTATTGTCTTCACGAAGCTTGGCATTCTCTTCAACAGCCAACTCCAACCTCTTGCTGAGCTCTGCAGCCCTACTCTTCCCAGGTAGAATAGCAGATCCTGTGGGTCTTCTAGCCTTGATCTTCTTATACCCACATTGCTTAAGGGTAACAACATCCAAAACGTCATTGTGGTTTCCAAAGTCTAAACTTAAGCTCAGGTAAGGCAATGTTGAGCTTGTCAAACAACTCAATCAATATGAAACCATAAGGCATAGCATGCTTGGGTTTGGAAGTATATGCAGATCTTGCCATATGCTGAATCATCAGGCTAGGAAGAATGATAGGGCTACCAGTGTCAAGCAGCTCCATCACTGCCATGTCCAGTAGAGTAGCTTCATGCCTTCTCTCAGACCTCTCTCTCAAACCTCTGAAGAATGCAAGAATTGGCAAAATGAAACAATAATTTGTGGAAGGGAGTCATATCAGTCTTGTACACTTTCTGGGGAGCATCTAGTTCAAATCTTTTGGGAGAACTTCCTGGTGACCCCAATGCCAGTGTCAACATCATTGTCTATGGCTGTCCACTTCTTCTTCAAGTAGTTGTCAAATCTCAAGGAAGAGATATTCAGAAGCATCCTCAGCTCCTCAGCATCAAACTCCATTTCAAAGCCCCCTACCTTACTCTTGACTACCGTCCCAAAAAATTTGAAATTTGCATAGAATTCCACCACAACAGGAACACATACTGGGGGGAAAATTTTTACAAATATGTGCTTCCATCCCTGTAGCTCAAGTTTTTCAACCAGTTGAGCCATCCCCTTCTCATCAGTGTTCGCAAGAATTTTTTCATTTAGCACTTTTCTGTTCCTGAACTCTGTGAGTCGATCAACTGCAGCTGGCACATTCTTTCTTGTCTTATCCCTACTAGCCCTTGCAGAAGAGGTAGCAGGTTTGGTGACTTTGGCACCTTTTCTCTTTAGTGTAGCAGATTTAGTTGGCAAGGCAGAGTCAGACTCATTTTCTCCATCCACCTCAACAGTGTTAAAGTTATTGCATTGTATCTGCAACAGTACAACAACACAACTGTAGCTTGCTAAGGCCAAACTAAAAGACCTTCTCTTCTCACATGTTCACTTATATATATAGAACATGATACAAGGTATAACCTAACACTTGCAAATCCAAAAATTTATATTCTCTCAAGTGCTAGCCGCCACAGTCTTCAAGGCTCTCTCAAGAACAAAGTTGCTACAACTTCAAGGACCAGATCGAGAGATTGAAGATATCTTAAGTCCTTAAGTTTGTTGAGTCTTTGTCATTTTATTCTTTATTTGTAATCCTACACTACTTTCAAGAAGTGTCTTTGTAGGACAGATTTCAATCATTGTTTGGTTTAGTTTCTTGACTAGAGTTAGTCAATGTTTGTTACTTTGTAATAGAATTATTGCAAAGGGATTACAATAGAGTTATTGTAAGGGGTGAGGGATTAAGAGTTTAATTCCTAGATTGCAATATGTTGTAATATGAAGTTTGCTCGATTTAGTGGAGTTGAAATCCTACTAGGCTAGGTCGTGATTTTTAATCCCTTGAGCAAGGAGTTTTCTACGTAAATATCGCGTGTTCTTTATTTACTGCATATTTAATGTGAAAACATATAGAGAACCCGATTCCCTATACTGTGTGATTTTACTTTCCGCTTATTTACCGTGGGAATAGATATTGGTGGACTCCTAGTTTCTATCATATCCCATATTTTGGTAATGCCTAGTTCCACGGAGACAAATTAGTACATTCAAAGTTCTCACGTACTCTTTCAGAAACATTTTTATCATCCAGAAGGCTTTACTTTTCATCCTGCCATGAAAATCCTTCAAATAAATCAACTTCAATAGCATATATCCTTGAAAATATTAATTCTTCTTGATTTATCTTCATGAAAATTCCCAACCCCTTAATTCTGAATTCTCTGTGCTCGTTATTGGTGCTTCTATAGTATTGGATTATTAGATGCTATGAAGTTCTTATAGCACACTGATACTCTGGGGCGGACCTACATGGGTCAAAATGGTACATATGAACCCATTTCGTTGAAAAATATTTCTTTCTTCGAGAAAATAGTTGACAAAACGTTTTGTTGACCCCTCTTAGCACAAAGATAGTGGTCTGGTCTACCCACAAAGTGGGTTCAAATTTATTAGGACGTCCTGAGTTCAAAACTAGTTTGCCCCAAACGGGCTCTTTTAGACATAGGACATACACGAAAGTTTATATTTCTCTTTTTAAAACTAGGAAAGCTTTTTCCATATAAATACAATCTAGAAAAAGAAAATTACACAGTTTTAATTCTTTTCCTAATAGAATAAAAAATCTGAAAATTATAAATAATTCCCAATTCCCAAACCCTTCAATGCTTCTTTCTTGGCTGAATCTCACTTCAAGTTCAAAGTCACATTGCTTCCATAGCCATCTCGATATGCACTGCCGCGTCTCGCTGTCTTTGTATATTTGATTCTTTATATTTTGAACCAGCTTTCTAAAAATCCTGGGTCCGCAATTGCTGATACTGTAGAGGAGAGGATGGGAGAAGTTATGCCGCTTAACTTATACTTGCAAGTTTCTAATAAAAACGCATAAAAAAGGTTAAATACCAGGCACAACGGGAGACATCAGTAAATTTTTGCTCGCATCGTGCACGTTGAGGGAAGGTAATACCATCCAATGTTGGGACGTCGCATAGGTCAGGCTGGACTAGTTTGAGCTGGACTTGGCTTCGGATGTGGTTGGACTGCCCAGGTCAAGTTTTGATCACTGCACTATCTATATTCCATCCTTGTGAATATTTGTCAATGTTGCAGTCATTTATAGCTTCATTTCCAGTAATATATGACCAAGAAATTTGTAAGACTTGACACTTGTCTCTGTAAAAAGGTTTGACCTTTTTTTTTTTATTAAACTTGGAAATTTGATCCCAGGGACTTGATTTATTTTGGCTCTTCTGATTTTGTAGCAAAAGAAACCTTTGATCTTTGTTTGACGGAAATAGAATTTTAATCTAAATTCTAGTCACGAGAATTAAAACTTCCAGCTAAACTTCTCTGTATGAGAAATTAAAAGAGAATTGTAGCTACAAAAGAAAAATTTAACTAAACTTCAATTCTTGCTGGAGATATATATTAAGCTTAACGAGCATGAGAAAAAGAACATAAAACAAGTGTTTTCTTTGTACACACCTTCACTTTAAAGCTGGGCATTCATCAGATTAAGATTTGAAGTTTTTTGCATTTCTGGTCTTAAATGTTAAACTACATTCATTAGAAAGCAACCTTAGGATTTTAAATCCTCGTCATTTATTGACTCGTCTGTTTTTAAAATTTAACCTTTTGCTTGATCATGGTACTACAGCTTAGGAGGTCTTGACCTTTTTGGTTTTATCAATAAAAATCAACCACTTCCTGGTGGTTTTATTTAAAAAAGCAGGAAAGAAGAAAAGAAAATAAAAAAGTCAAAGAAAAAACAACAGACACCAAATATAAATTGGTCAAAATTGTTGCTATGAAAAGTCATGATAGTCTCGTTCCACAAGCTTTCCTACAAGAAGCATGTCCAGATATCATTTGTACTCAAACAAATCTTGAAAAATTCTTGCTGAAAAATGTTTCAAATCATTCACTATTCTGAGCTGCACGTTTGGCTTTGAACAACCGAAAACACAAAGAGATGACCATATTATTATTATTATCTGCAGCAACTTTTATTTTTTGGTCTCTAGCTGCCAAAATGAAATTTTTAGCCAAGTACTTCTTCTTTCTCATCTTTACCTTATTCTGCAGCCAAAAATGTATCATTAACCTTTCATCTGTAGCTGCTATAACCTCAATGAAGCCTGGTGATGAACTCAATCACTTACAAGTACTTGATTCAGAAGGTGGAAAGTTCAAGTTAGGATTTTTTTCTATCCCACAAACAGATAAAAATTGTCTTGGAATATGGTATGCAGGTGATTCACAAGATAAGAAATTATGGATAGCCAATCCGAATACGCCTATATTGAACAACTCAGGATTGATCACCATAGATTCTACAGGAATATTGAAAATCACCAGTGGAGGGAAGGCAGTTGTGAATATTGCCCCTCCTGTATTGACAGGAAGTTTAATGGCTAGACTTCAAGATTCTGGAAATTTTGTGCTTCAGGATGAAACTCGGAATAGTACTTTATGGCAAATCTTTGATCATCCTACCGATTGTCTTTTGCCTGGTATGAAGCTTGATCATAACCTTACAACAAAGCAGAATTGGACTTTTACTTATTGGTTGAGTAGTTATATTCCGGTCTCGGGGGTTTTTACTCTAAGTTTGGAGTCAGTTCAAGATGCATTTCAGTTGGTTATACGTCAAAGGGGCGAGGTTTATTGGACTAGTGGCGCTTGGAGCAATCAAGGTTTTCCATTCTTAAGTGCATTGAATGATTCTTCTAACAGATATCAGTATAATCTCAGCTTGGTGTCTGAAAAAGACAGCGTGTTCTTTCAATTTGACGCTCCAGAGGGAAGTTTCCCAAGTTTTGAGTTGTCTTTAAATGTGGCTATTCATGGCGGTGGTGAAGACGGTTGTGTGTACACCCTTTATAATGAGTTCTGTTATGGTTATGAAAGTGATGGTTGTGTCTCTACTCAGTTGCCTGAGTGCCGAAAGGATGGGGATAAATTGGAGCAAAAGAGTGGAGACTTTATTGATACATCTAATACTAACGATTATGATAATGCAAGCATTAGTATTGGTGATTGTATGCAGAACTGCTGGGAGCACTGCAGTTGTGTTGGCTTCACCACTACCGGCAATGGAACAGGTTAGATTTGCGGACACTATGAGCTACATAAGTCAACTATAACAGTTGTGACACTAGGATATTTTTAGAATGAGGCTGTTGAACTATCAGTTGACATAAAAATAACGAGCAGAGAGCCGTGGCTAGTTTCTTGTACAAGAGAGCAACTGACTTTCTAGAGTCATCAACCATAAATTTAGATTGATCCAATATAAGTATCTTCAGACCCTACACCAGGAAACTTGACACAGTACTCTCAACTGACAGTTATTGCGTTCAAGTTGAAGACGGGAAATATGCATTCAAGCATGAAGAAGAAAACAAAAATACAAAGATTAAACAAGTTATCAAACAGTTAAGTAACAAATACTCATCAAAGTATCTTTAAAAGATAGCAATTTGATCCTTCCTTTAGGCTTGAGGTTGATAGTGTTGAGATACACGGTTAAACATGCGGTTTAGAGATAGTATTTTGTTTAATTCTTTATGGAACAATTATTTATTTAATTTATTCAATTCAATAAAGTATTTTTTAAAATAGATTATTTGTTACATGTGTGTCCTTTTAGTTATGTAGTAGACAATTTAGTGTATGGGGTCTTAGCTCATGCACAGAAGATTAAATTATCGGTTCACATAATTAATAAACTATGTGCACAATCAAAGATATTATTGGACAAAATATCTTGATGATTGTAGCACAAGATTATAGTATAATTTGTCTTGATTATGAGAGTGGTTTTACTCCAACTTCTCGTGCTAGTATACTTAGTGTATATTGAACGGACCAAGTAGAGAAAAAATATTTTTGTACTGAATATATATAAATCATTTTCTCTAATTCATTAAAATGTGCTTATACTCCTAATCTTGATATAATTATTATGATCAATGTGATTTATTTTTTGTTTTGATTTATCAAAAGGTACAACTCTATTCAGAGTTAGTGTATGCCTAATAGATTGGACAGTAACGAATAACATTTGTGAAATAATAATTAGTTGATAGAATCTATGACTCGGTTTTGAGTTTGATGTTACCTCTTTCATGTAAGCTTATAAGTTTTCATGTAAAAACCCGGCCGGTGGATTTTATATCCGTCACATGAAATAGTTTAAGCGGAATTATAAAGGATTTAATTAGT